GATTGCAACCCTCGGTGTCCCGCCAGTACTGGGGACCGGCAACGGAATCGCAACCCTGGGTGTTGCGTCCGCCCCGCGCTCAGCCAGTGAGCGGGAACCGTTCTCCACATGGGATCCGATCCCTCGGCGGGAGTGCTGCCGCACTCCCAAGTGGCGCACTCTCCAGTGCGACACCGGGTTGGCCCTCGGTAAGGGGATCTTAACCCTTGACTTGGTGTTGTCAGCACCACGCTCAGCCAGTGAGCCAACTGGCCATCCCTATATAGGATCCGATCCCGTGGCCTTGGTGTTATCAGCACCACACTTTCCGAGTGAGCCACAGGCCGGCCCTAGAAATATACATTCTAAAAACCAAAAAAAAAAAAAAGACATGTACAATCTTAGGCCCCACTCCAGACCTACTGAATCAGCAACTCAGGGGGTGGTGCAACCTGTGCTTTAATAAGGCCTCCAGAGAATTCTGATACACACTGGTTTGAGAGCCACTGGTCTTAGAGGAGGGACTGTCAAATTTTTTCTGTAAAAGGCTGGATAATATGTTTTAAGCTGTGTAGGCCTTACAGTTTCCATTGCAGTTATTCAGTTCATTGTAGTGCTGAAGCAGCTATAGACAATGTATAAATGATGGGCATTGCTGTGTTCCAATAAAACTTTACTTACAAAATCAGGCAGTAGGCCAAATTTCCCAACTCATGGTCTAATCTGGAGGAACAAACAAGGGCTTTGGAGGCAAGCTAGGATGTGGTTCCTCTGGCTAGTCAGCTATCTCACTTCTCTGAGCCAGTGGCAGTGGTGTGCTGGTAAATGTTTAACAACCAGCTCTCTAGGGAAAAAAGCCAAGATTTGCTTCCATGGTGTAAGTACATTCACCATAGCTGATTTCAAGCTACCAAGGTGAATTACTGAGTTTGTCAAAGTTACACACTTTGTCTCTCGTAAGCCAGCATGAGCTGCTCCAGCACAGCACTGCTCTGTTGTGTGTGTCTAACATTGGCATCACAATACTTATCTGGCAGACTGTGGTGATAATTAAAATAAAGGTTGTATTATTCTTTGGTCTTAGTATTTATGGGGTGATGACTATGGATTTTAAACTATGTGATTTTACACACACACACACACACACACATTACAAATACATTTTAAATCATGAAATCTCATCTATTTCTGGAGGGTTCTTAATAGTTTTTTTTAAGATATTTTGATGTTTTTATCTCAAATCCAAAGAACACATTTAAAATGTAAATAATAAATTTTATTACCAGGAAGAACCTATTAATCCATATGTACCAATATATATTAATATTGTTCCTACAAGATTTAGATCAACTCTAAATCAAAATTAGAGTGCTTGTAGAAGGCACTGAAATAAAGCTCCCTACACCCTCATAACGTATGCTGTCTGCTTCTGTAAAATTGTTTGCTTAACCTAAGTAACTCCATTTTACTCCCGTCTGACCTGCAGACTACCCCCTCCTTCTGTGTGAGAAACCATTGACCTCATAGAAACAAAAACTGTTGCAGAGAAACAGCCATACACAGTGAACTATTACATGGGAACAGGAACCATACACAATGAAAATTTGTATGCTTGATTGCTCTAATGGCTCATTCTTGGCTTCTGTAACCTAGCTACCTAGCTTGCTTTGTGCACCTGGACAAACCCGTCTGCCAATGGGATGTGGTTTTTGCCTTTAAAAACCCCACAAGACCAAGGCCCAGGGCCGTTCTCCCTTGGTTGCTCCTTGAGAGATGGTCGCTGGCCAGCTGGAATGAATAAACTGCCCTTTTCTGCATGAGTGGCATGTAAGTGCATTCTTGTGGGAGGGTGCCTCACATTAGCACGAGTATAGTCTTAAAATGAAATTGCAGTTTTATTAGTTGGCCAGTTACATATTTACTCAAGACTTTTATCATTTTGAGTTTTCTACTTCTCTATCAGTCTTTAGGCACTTGCACAGGCTAAGAGATTTAATGGAAATCTACTGAAAAGAATGGCTGACAGATCTTATAGCCACATTTACATGAGTTACATAAAAACCCAAAGCCTTCTCAAGAAGACTTTTTTGAGATCTCGGGATACAAGGCAATGGTTATTGTATATACAGTGTATTTCTCAGACAGTTCTGAAGGAAAGGATTCGATGACTATCTTTCTAGGCAGGAATGTAATCTGGGAGGCCAGAAGATAGATTAAATGGGCCCACTTCTTTTCAGGTTTATGAATAAGCCTTTTGGTACAAGAAAAATGGGGGTTGCTTGAATTGAGAGATTATCTTATAAGTGCCTGTGTTCACTGCTGTGGGCTCACTGCATTCTTTTCTTTGCAGCCATATAAATAAAAGAACCACCTACCTGGATCCAAGACTGGCATTTACTGTGGATGATAATCCGACAAAGCCAACCACCAGACAGAGATATGACGGCAACACCACTGCCATGGAAATACTCCAGGGCCGGGATTTCACTGGCAAAGTGGTCATAGTTACTGGAGCTAATTCAGGAATAGGTAGGCCGTTAACTTAAAATTATTTTATTTTTTGTGACTACTATAATAAAACCCACTTAAATCTAACTATAATGAAATCTTGCATACCGATTCTCTCGTTTAAAAATGTACTATATAGCATTTTCGGCTTCGTTTTATTAAAATTGTGGCCTCTTCTTAAATCCCGGTGTGTGATCATGGAAGGCTGTGTAGAGGCTGACCTTGAATTCTCTGAAAGCGGAACACTCAGCAAAAGATGGTGGCTATTTTGGTATTCAGGGATTAGAGACAAGAGGCTTTGTCTGAGAGTTTTTGATCTGGTCTGTGTGGCGCATGGACATATTCCAATTACCTGGGTTATTCAAACCCAAATTGATTGGTAATGGAATATGGGGAACAACGACGAGTTGTGACTTTGGAACAAAGGATACTGCAGGTTTCGACTGGTCACTGAGCATATCATTTTCCTTTGGTAACAGGATCTTATTTCTTTATAAAATTAGAGAATTAGTCCTTGTGTTCACCTCTAAATTAACTCTCTTAATTGCCAGTGTTTACCCACAGTGACCATCACGAGGTAGACGGCTCGAGAAAGCATCCTTTAGTGTCATGAGCTGTTAAAGAAACTGCAGCAAAGCAGAACTCACCACTCTTCATGTGATTTTATTATTTTCTTTTTGTCCGTTTAAATCCATATCTGAATCAGGAAGGATTCACTGCTTTGAGGACGGGTATGCATCTTCAGATTTGTGTACAGGTAGAAAACATGGAATTGCACTCTGCTCTCTTCTGTCTTGTATCCTCCCAGTGCCCACAATGCCCTCTTATTGGCTACCTCTCTCATAAGCTTTTATCTCCTCCACTCTTTCCTTCCTTAGTCTTAATTTTGAAGGACTCCTCCTTGAGCCTCCAGAAACTTTCTCTAATATCATCAGGGCAAGCACAGAAGGTAAAATTACATTCTCAAAGGATTATTGTGTAGTACAGGGTCTAAAATCTAACAGACTACAATCTCAGAACAGAACTTTTGATTGCAGTTGTCTATTAAGGAAAAGCAAATAGATTTTTTATTTAATTGGAAGAGATTTATTTAAAATCAACTCTCAGACCTCATTCTTGGTTTAGAATATGTTCAGTCCAATTTTCTGAACTTCTGCAATGGGGTAGATTCTATGTAATTGCCATTGATGTCAGAACTAATGATGTGATGTAAATATGGCTGGATCCTCAATCCAAGAAGCAATATGTTACATTGATTGTATTGACTGCTGTTATGGTAAGGATGTGGACTGATATGGTGTAGAATAATTGAGGAAAAAAATCAGGATTTAAGGACTTAAGAAAAATATATTTTTTTATTTTAACACTCAGTTAACCAGAAAATTAATTAAAAGACGTCATTCCCTTAATCTTCTTGCTAGATTTTTTCTTTAATTAGTAAGATATGTGACTACTGATTATTTTCTGTGTAAGTGTTCACAGTGCTTCATCTGATGTTAGATAGCAGACCTTTGAATATGGCTCATGCTTTTTCAAAGATTTGCAACATCAGGCCTATGGCATTGTAATCCAGTGCTAATAGCTTTGGTTCAGAATATAAAAAGGCTCTGTCTAGTTGGATGTTTAATCATGATAGAAAAGAGATTTCTGAAGCATTGAGAATAAGTATGTTGTTGATCAGAATGGTGCTGACATCTCTGGAGGAAAGCCGAAAACTCTTTGTGCCTCTTCACAGCTCCCCCTTCCCCCAATACTCTCCCTTCCTGATAGCCATAATTCATTTTGTGGACACTGCAGGGGGTGTCTGTGGTCCATTCGGATGTTGTGGCAAATTGTAAGCTCAGGACAGAACAGGTGTTGTAGGAGGTCTTAGGGAGACCAGCCTTTCCTGTTTAGGCTCCCAGAGCTCTTTCCCCAGCACTAACTTCCCTCAGAAATTGCCTTCTGTGGTGCCACCTCACCCCATCCCCTCCACTCTTGAGAAGCCTGAGTCTAGGTGAGTGCCAAAGATTTTCATTCTTAATATTTGAAATGTCATACTGCAAATTCCAAGCAATCAAATACTTGCAAATCACTTTCAGTCTGCGGCAGTGGTATCAGGTTTAAAGAAAAGAAGAGGCTGAAGATAGGCACATGGCTTTTCGTCATAACTAAAGTTAGCTTTTATATTGCGTGTGGCTGCCTTAGAAAGTGTCCTTGCCCTAGTAGGCTGTGGCTTCTAGATAAAGTCCTTCCTTCTACTGAGTTGTGAAATATGCCAGTTTATAATTTGCTGTCACTACTTCATTTCTGCCCGTACCAAATGAAATAGCTGAATGTGGACTGAATCAGGCATCTTCATTTCCAAGATTATGATTTCTTGGGCTTTCAAGAGTCATCTTTCTGTCAAAGCTTTTTTACTGGGGCGTGGACAGCTGGCTTGTAGGGGATCTGAACCCTTGACCTTGGAATTATCAGCACCACACTCTAACCAAGTAAGCTAACCAGCCCCTATCAGAGCTTTAATGGTGTTAGTGCTCCCTTTCATCAAGGGAGACCGTTTCCTATGTGTAAACTGTTAAAGCTTTAGCCTTGTGGCTATCAGTTATCTTTGAAGCAGAGTGGGCGTGAACAGAGCATAACAGTGTTTATTTTGGGATAAACACTTATTTATTTATTTATTTTTTTAGTGACTTCATAACTAAAAGCATAGATATTTAATTTGCTTTACAAGGGCTGATTTACAAATCTGGTTTTTCTAGTAGTTCCTTTTTTTATATTCTTTTTAACTCCCCATAAGGCACTGCTTTGTTGGAATTGCCGTTGGTGAGGGTCTCTGATGTGGAAGGGAACATCTCCCCCTTGACAGACTTCAGGGTTGTACTGGGGCCCTGCCCCCTGTGAAGTGGCCTCCAAGCAGATTTTGTTTTGTTGTCCTCTTCCTGGTACAGAGCTATATTTTGTGTTTTTGATATTTGATATAACTACGGCAATTGGAGGGATTCTTACTTAATTCAACTCAAAAAAATCAGGGTGATTGTGGAAGATAGAAGGAGGATTCAGGGGAAATGTCAGAATAAAGCCCTATAGGTTCGTGAAGTCTTTGTTTTCAGTTAAGGTTTGTAGCCCGATATTACCACAATTGACTGGATTCAGCTGCGTATGTTGCGGGGTGGGTAAACTACAGCCCCTGGGTTAGATCTGACCCGCCTAATTTTGTAAGTAAAATTTCATTGGAACACAGCCACCTGCATTCAATCCCATATTGTCTGTGGCAGTTTGCGTGTTACCCAGCAGAGTTGAGTAATTACGGCAGAGACCATATTGGCTGCCAAGCCTAAAATATTTACTATCTGGCCCTTTATAGAAGTTCGCTGACGCCTGTATCAGATGATCTAGTCCCTTTTCAATGTAAGATCACCCCAACACCCTCTAAATTAACCACAAGTTAGAAGAAGTTTAGGTAAATTGGATGCCCCAGGCCATAGGTAGATTGTGGCAACACATCCTAGGTAACTGTTGGGGACATCCCACCAGTATCCTGTACCCCTTGCCTCAACTCTGTTTCCCTTTCTTTCAGGGAGCTGCGAGGTTTAGGTTGTTGCTCCTCAGAAACTAACGCTCTTCTCTCCTTGACCTTTTGTTTAACCAGCTTTCTGAACCCGAAGAACTTTGTAGATTGAAAGCTGTAGCTTGTGGACCTCTCTCTGTGGAGATCAGCATCTCAGTATCCAGGGGGAAGTCATCTCTTCACCCAAAGCTTCTACTAGCAGAACAAGAGGCCGGAACCCCGCAGTCCCGACTGCTAACCAGTAGAGACAAGGGAGGAATTCATTTCTGTTTGTGCTCAACGTAGACTGGGCAGGAAGGGATAGGCGTTTCACAGCTCTCTGCAGTTAGCAGTTTGATGGCTCTGATTTGGTAAAAACAAATGGAAATGGCTTCAACATGGTGATCATTGCATACAAATATTGTTGGGAAGTCCCAGGAGAGGTTTTTTAGGCTAGAGAATTTCCCACCACAGAAGGTCCTATAAGCTGCTTTTCTAGATTCAAGCTGCCAGTCGAGCTAATTTGGCTATGCATATAAATGCTGCTGCCTTGAATCTGCAGGCTGATCAGAGGCAGGGTCCTGCTAATGAGGGGTTAATTGAATGCCTAAATGTGGGACATCACCTACTCTGTCCACTGTCATTTCTTAGTGGGACACTTGTTGCCGTGAGCAGACGGATTTATTAATATCATGTTTGAGGAGTGACATTCAGGGTTTTGTCAAACACCCATTTAAAAACTGTTAACTAGTATGAGGAAATTAGCTACTTATGATAAAACTTTCTTCCTAACTTCCGGTCTTAAACCAGTAGTGGCTACAACTTGATTTTTTAAATTCTTTTCAGTTTAGTCAGGAGGAGAAGTTTTTCTCATATTTTGAATCTTTTTTTTTTTTCCTTTTTGTCTTTTTTCGTGACCGGCAACGGATCACAACCCTCAGTGTTGCGCCCGTACCGGACCGGGACCGGCAACGGGATCGCAAACCTCGGTGTTGCGCCCGCACCTCGCTCAGCCAGTGAGCGGCAGGTCTGTATGTGGGATCCGAACCCTTGGCGGGAGCGCCTCCGCGCTCCCAAGCGGCGCACTGTAGCAGTGCGCCACCAGGCCGGCCCTCATATTTTGAATCTTTATAATGATGGGCTGCGACAAAAGTTGTGACTTTAAATCTAGAATAGCCTGGCCTATTTTCTATTCTTTGAGCCAGAGGACTCATCAGCAAAAACAAAACGGTCCTCCCTGCCCCCTGAACAGGTTGGCCATGTTGGTATATTACTAGTGAAATGTATTTTAGTAGTAACACTTCAATTTTCTATTATGTTTGTTTTATAATCACCTCCCTACAGTTTATTACAGGGATTCATGTATATTTTGACATATAAAAGGTACATGCTCAAGCTATCAAAGTCACCCCCAATTTTGTTCTCCTTGAAAGAA